CTATCGGAACAAACCATTATTTTTCAGTCACGCTGCTGGGGAGGATTGGGAAAAACTTAGTCATGGAATGTAAGTTACACAAAAGAACCCACCGTGTCTCCCACACTGCGTCCAGGCCAGCACTGAAGCCACAGATCGTGAGACAAACTATGGCCATGCCATGAGGAGCGGGGAAGAGAGTAAAGGGAGACTGAACTGAATGGAGCAGTGGAAGGGTGGCAAGTTCAGGCACAGGGTCCAATCCGGCACCTTTGACGCCAGTGGGGAGTTTTAATGGGAGCAGGAGCAGGCCTATAATGACAGAATGTAAATTACCCACAGTGTTAAAAGGGCCTCTTTTTTCCCCCTAAAAAAGCCCAGAGGAGCAGAGCAGAAATTTAAATAGCAGCTGGGTTCCTAATTTCCACAGGAGGGGGGCTTGGCTGCCACCCCACATGCTGAAAGCTCTCCATTAAAAAAACAACCCAACAAATACCATTTGGTTCAATATAAAATGAATTAAAGTAAATTAAACTGCAGGAGCCATGTGGCCTGCGAAGGCCTCCATTGTTGTACATCTATAAATGGCAGCTTTTCATTTTCACTGCTAAGGAACGACAGCTTGGTGGGTGTGGAATTAGAAGTAAGTAAATAGAAAAGACACACTTACTGAAGATTGCAGATTAGGAAATCCCAGGTGCATGTGAGACTCCCCCATCCCCTCCCCATGTGGCTATTAAACAATCTTTGCTGCTCTTCCATGGAATGGAATAAAGGGGGAAAAACAAAACAAAAAAAGAGAAAACGATGCAAAAACGCATGAGGTAAGAGAGAAAGGAACCAGGCTTCTACTAGGGGCAAACTTCCATCCTAGGAATCTTGATTGCTGGAGCCTTTTAAACAATGGATGGGGGCAAATTTTCTTTATGGCATCTTGAAACGGCAGTGCGGCAAAAGGGCTTTCCTGGTCCTGTTTTGTATTACCCAGGAGAATCATGGAAACCAGAAGCTCCATTTCAAGGGGGAAAAAATAAACACAAGGGGAAAAAATCCAATGGCTCAATTGTTTTAAAGCACTTTAATGAAATAATGTATTAATAAATACTTATCACTCCTTTTAAAGATCTGGACCCAATACTCCCAAATTTCCAGGGCATTTAATATGACCCATTGTGTTTGGGCCCTGGTCCTGAAAAGATTCATGCATGCACCTAAGTCTGTGCCCTTGTGAGTAGTCCCAATGGTAAGTATTCAGCACCTCTGAAAGTCAGGGCCGAGCTATCTCAAGTTGGCCACTCAGGACAGAAGCCCCTTTAGAAAACTTGTAAGTGACATATCGAAGGACACAAAGTGTCAGAGATGAGATGAGAACTCAAGAATTCCCGGGTCCCTGGCCTGGATCAGACTACTACTCCATACCTCTTATCAAACTTCTCATCAAACCTCTCTTCCCAGTCTCCCTGCAAACCCAAGGATTTTCTACATGCCCAAGTAAAAGAGGAGAATGAGAGCATTGGGGAAAGCCACATAATGTTCAGAAAAGCCTGAGAACTTTGATGAAGGGTGGGAAAATCTTGAGGAGAGGCCAGAAGAGCCAGAGTAGTTTTAGACTCAGAAAGATGGGACTAATCTGAAAGTGACTGGTCTGAAGTCAAACTGAGAAAGATAAAAGCCTGTGAATTAGATCCCAGTTAGCAAGTTTCACTACAACCATTGCTGAACACCAGAGAGGCACTGCCAGAAAATGCAGGAGAAAATCCCCCTTCTCCCCACCGCCTTCTCCATGGTGTTGAACTATATCTTCTCTTTCACTGGTGGCATGAGGTTCTCCACTCCTGGTCCTGGTCCTGGTCCTGGCAGCTGGAAACCACTGCTTTGATCAGGAAGAAGAATCCAGTAGCACCAGCATTATCTCATGGCAGCTGAAATAAGCACCCATCTCTCCACTGTGATTTTAAGTGGACATTCCTTTGGTAGCTTTCACCTTGAAGGATCCCAAAGCATTTTGCTACATTAGCCACATATAGATAAGACTCACACCTCTCACCATTAGGCTGCAGCCATCAATGAAATGGAAAGCAGCAGCTGTTTAAACTGAAAACAACAGCGCCATAATAATAATTTTGGGCAGAAAGTGAAGAATACCATATCCGGCTGACGTTGCAAGAGGAGCTGTCAGACTATAAATACCTCGCATGGATTTTGGCCAAAACACAAAGAGTATGTCTACACTGCAAACGGGAGCATGCCTCCCAGCCTGGGGAGACAGACACTTTCTAGGTTCACTTGAGCTAGTATGCTAAAAATAGCAGCATGAACATTGTGGCACAGGCTAGCAACTCAAGTTTGGACCTTGGGGATTGGACGGGCTTGTATTCAGGCAGGTAGCCCGGGCTGCAACATCCATTTTCAGTGTGCTAGACATACTAGCTTTGCTTGAGCTATCTACCCAGGCTGGGAGGCATGCTTCCAGCTGCAGCATAGACATCCTCTAAGGATGATGCACCTAAGGTGCCATAGGATCTTCAATACTCTTAAGTGGACGAGAGCTTAGGTTCTCCTCTGCCAATGGGGCTTCCAGCATCTCATTGCCCCCTAAAACTACGCTGGGGCATCAGCTCAGCAAAAAGCGCTCGACTCCATCACTAAGAGCACTTCCTTTAGTGAGCTGGGTTTTTCTTAGAGGTCTCCCATTCAAGTCCGATCCTGCTTAGTTTTTAAGATCAGAACAGATCACAGCCCCAAATGGCTTGATGGATGTAGAGAGAACTATGGGTGTGTGTGTGTGTGTGTGTGTGTGTGTGTGTGTGTGTGTGTGTGTGTGTGTGTGTGTGTAAACCCATGATTAAGTGATAGCAACAGAGCCTCAGATGTCAAGGGACAGAGAAACCATCAACAACATCTCAAGACAAAAAGGGACTCAAAAAAAATTGGAGAAATATCACTGTGCAGAAAAAGGTATTAAAAATGAAGCATCTGTGCTGTAAGCCATTATGGGCCCTTGACAGATGTGATCTTACCAGCCTCTCACTGTAGCTGCAAATAAAGACCCAGTCTCTTTCTTCTCCCCCGACAAGGATTAATGAGTACTTGGGATAGCTCTCAGACAAGCAAGCAAAGGCTGTGAACCTTTTCCAGTGCAGCAATTTATCTTGGGATGACTATTCGCATCACTTTTTTTGCAAGCTGGATTATGCTCTGACCCAGCACATTAATCTCCCAAAATAAAATAATAACAATAATAGAAAAAAAAAAAAAAAGAACTGGACAATCGCCAGAGATCAATTAATAACCATCTCAAGTACCCCTGGTGCGCAGGAACAAACAGCTCAACTCCCCTGCCACCCATGTTATTTGTAAGCATAACTATTCCCGCTTTAAAAATTCCCTTTAAGTGCTTTGCCTGAGACTTTCAGTGAGGGATGATGATAGTAATATCTTGCATTTCTATCGTGTCTTTCATTCCAAAGGCAACCAAAAGTTAACCGATCCACAAGCTCTACTTACCACATCCACCACTGGTGATGGGTCGGGGGTGGGGGCAAGGAGAACATGACAGCTCTAATAGTGAACAGGCACTTTACACAACTGTTTAGGACAGGAAGTGAAAAACATCATACACTGAGACCTGGTCTACACACAGTTTCAGTATCGATGGAACAGTTTCAGTTAGGGATGCAATTTTCTACTGAAATAGTTAAATAGGTACCGCTCCTACTTTGGGTGCAAAGATGCCGATATAGCTTTTTCCCCTTCCCGTACAAGAATAAGCTATACAAGGCACCTTCACACCCATATAACTGCATCCACACAGGAAGGAGGTGGTGTACTGCTTCAACCTGTATGCAGACAAACCTTTAGGGTGATATAAAGTAATTATTTAAGCTGGAACGTTCCCAGAACACCTGGGTTAACACATCTATTCTTGTAAAACAATAAAATAAAAAGAGCGTTACGGGTCTGCAGTGAACACAAGAGCTCAGAACCAGAGTTTCACATCTCATCCAAGAATCACAGCAGCATAATGGACCCTGAACATGCTGGGGGATTGGATAAGTACTGACTCGGAAGGAAAAATGCCAGCATCTCTGAAGATCAGCCCCTTGGGGGCGTCTCAGGTTCAGTGCCAAAAATTAGAAACCACTTTTTTTAAACAAACATTCACCTGCCATAAGAACTCAGATGCAACAGCACTGGGAGCCTGCATGCACATCAGGAAACCACGTCCATAAAATGAAATGGATTCTAAACATGAAGTGACCCTGGCTTGTTTAGTTTCATTGTACACAGTGAGTGATGCTAGAATTCAGGTTAAAAAAAAGATTGGTGAGGGAAGGAAGAGAGATTGTATCAATTAATAAGTATACATATCAGAAAAGCTGCTACCAGCTCTACAGTCGGTCAAAAAAATAACCCAGGAAAATTGGTGCAAAAATTTTACCAAAACTTTCCGTGATTTTTTCTTCCCTAACATCACATTTTCATCAAAATTTTGATATTTGAAATTTTTTGACCAGTTCTACTACATACATGGTAAATCAGATTTCTAAAATTCCATTTAAATAATCTAAGGTGTTATCAGTTACACAGATAAGGATGCTCGTCTTCCACAAAGCATACAATTTTTATCACTTTAATCCACTGTTTTTCCAGCGGAAGGAGGGGAGGCGGGCGGTTTGTTCACAAAAGGCTAGATAGTGCAAACTGCCCACAGCCTGTAGAAAAGTGTTTCACTCTCACCCATTGTTGTTGGCTATAGCCCCACCTCCCCCCTTCCCTTTTTGGGGCAATATGCAGTTCTGGGAGGGAGGGAGCCAGCAGCCCCCACCCTAGCTTGAACATGGGAATGAAAATCTGTCTTGTCCTTACACAAATCATGCAAGGGGTTTGGGAAATGGAGGCTCCCTTTCCTTTGCACACCCAGGCAAGAATCAAGCAGAATCTGTATCTAACCTCAGAGGCATGGTTTTATTGGGTGGCTCCCATCAGACAAGGACCAGGAAGAAAGCAGAGTCCTTTACCTTTGACTTGACAGCCAGAATGATTTTAGGCAGGGCAACGACCAGGCATTTCAAAGAGATGGTGAGATACTTCAGTACGAAGTCCGTGATCCCCACAGTCCACATCAGGTCAAAGAAATCCAGACTCTCCAGGTTGGGTTTCAGAAATATCAGGCTGAAAAGCAGGACAGCAAGACCCAAACATTAACGAATGGCCCATCATCTGCCCTTCATCAAAGCTCCAGTACAAAGAATGGGCCCAGGGACTCCACCAAACATGAGCACAGGTTCTTTAGATCAAATGTAACAGGAGCAAGGTCAGCAGGTTAGTCCCTTCCGGACTTTGACCCATGCTCTTATCCAGCCCCACTGAGGTCAATGGCTTCAGACTTGCCCATTTTCAGTAAAGGGAACACAGTCATCCACAAAGCCTACGGTGGAAGTTAACCCCTGCACTCCAGGCTGATAAAAGAAAGAAACTTCCCTCCAGGGGGGTGTTCCCAATATCAGCAGCTCTGGTCCCCAAGTTTTCCCACTCAATCCTATTCCTGAAGGAAAAGCCACCTACATCTCTCCATCTTTACCACTGGGGAATGATCTGAAACATGCACGCCACTGCAGTTCAGAGCCGCGCTGGGGTAGTTGCCACTCCTCAGTAGGAACAGCACAGGCCAATTCAAGAGCACCATGCGTGTAGACCAGTCTTGAAACCCCACAAAAGCACATTCTGGCAAAGGCAGAACTACTGCAGGGGCAGCATTCTCCACAGCACTAAGCTAGCTGGGAACGCAGGGCAGGCATGCGACAAGGGCAGCACCGCATTAGGCACAGCAGAATGCTCAGGGCCATTCAGCATGGGGTAATTGCACTGAGACAGTGGCTCACAAACTTTTGAGGCCAACTAAGAGCTGGGCTCTGTGAATCAGCATCGCCTATTGAAGTGCACGTATTCCAAACCTATAGAAAGGGGAATCCAAGCTCGGTCATGGATTCCAGCAAACACAAATTAGTGGGAGGTGGAGAGCAGTGACCCAGCAGGGCTCAGCACGCAGACCCTGCAGCTGCAAAGGATCCACGGGCAGCGGAAACCAGCGTGGTTCTGCGGCAGAGACACAGAAGGCTGGATTCCGGGGGGCCTTGCAAGGCGTACATGCCCCACGTGAGGCATTCAGCCCAGCAGCTCACACTGAACAGGAAGGAGCAGGGCATGGGTGCGGTAGGGTCAGAGTATCCGCTGCGGCACCATGCTCCGATTAACCCCTGCACCTGCATTAGGGAACGTGCAAGTCTACTTCAGCCATGGGCTAGAACAGCCTTCAGAGAGCAGCAGAAAGATGCCTCTCTTTTTCCTCCTCCCGCCACCCCCAGTCCAGCAACTCGGGCCGGACACTGAGTTGAATATTTGCTCCTTAGGTAGGAGGAGCCTAGAGTACCAGTACTTCAGGAAACCACTGCATGGGGTACCAATTAAATCAGGTCCTTCCTCAGCAGTCACAAGGGGCTTCTTGTCACTATTACTGTCCACCAAGCTCTCGCGTGTGAAAAGCAAAAACTTAACAAAAAGAAAAACCCGAAACAAAAAGCCTGAGCATGAAATTAAAATACTCACAACTCTGGCACAGCGCAACAGGTAAAATTAAACCCTAAAAACAGAAACAAAATCAGAGACTTAAATATGATTGCGGGCTAGGAAAATAAATACACAAAAACAACAGCAAAATCAGGAAATGAAAAATAACTGAAAGGAACAAAAAGCGAATGGCGATTTCTAACCTCCCCAGCCTGTGCAGGACTCTGGGCCCCAGTGCTGCCAGGGTCTCCGCACAGACAGACCTCTCCATCCACACGGAGCACTGCTGAAGTCAGGGGGATTCTGCATGGAGCTGCTTGGCGGATCAGGCCTTGGTGTGGAACTCTCTGTCAGCCTTTGCAATATATTTAACCCTTTCGCATCAACTCACCGCTCCCCAAACAAAGGGGCACAATGTTCCTGTTTTGCTGGAACCCTTTGAACTAACCTGCCCCTCTCCCAGCCCAACTCTGCTGTTCCTTTCCAAACCTGCCTGGCCTCATCAGCTCCCCTACACCCCCATCTCACCTTCCAGCTCCCCCACATCCCCATCATCATCCTGATCAGCTCCCCCACACCCCTATCTCACCCCCCTGCTCCTCAGAGCCTCCCAGCAGTCTCCTTCCTGCCTTCTGTTTCCCGGCTGCCCACTATGGCAGCCTTTCCAGCACATTCTCCCAACTTGTTCCACTCCGACCCAATCCTTCCCTCCAGAGCCTCTGAACTGCAACTTTCCCTCACACGTCCCGTCACTCATCTGCTTCCAGTCTGACTCATACTACAGCTGCCCCTTCACTCCAAACACCCAGGCAGAATCCCAGATGAGAGTCACATTTTTTAAAATAAAATAATTCAGAGTGTTGGGGTCAAATGAAACTCATTTTTCTCCAAGCAACAGTTAAAGACACAGGTATTTCTAATAACTGCTAATGATAAATTTGGATTAATAATGCAAATTCAGATGGGTGCCACGGTTCTGAGCATACAATCGTTCTACCATTCAATATGCATTTTTTTCCAGGGAAGAGAGATGGTTCTATTACTGCTGCCTCATCACAATTAAAAATGGAAAGGCTCTACCTGTGATGTCATCTAAGCTATTATTGCTCATCTGATGCAAGACTGTTCAATACTATTCATATTCCAATGATTTCTTGAATATATGCAGTTCCAAGTCTCAATCAGTGGGACTCCCACAACTTCCCTTGGGAAATTATTCCACAGGGGAACAGATCTCACTTTCAGACCAATTTTCCTAACATTTGGCCTAAATTTGCCTTTGCATCATTTCACCCCATCTATCCTGGTTACACTCGCTTAGCCTAACTCCAATCGCTTCATGGCATTTAGTTCTTCCTTGATCATTCTAATAAGAGATTGACCCCAACCAAAACCCTGGATGTTTACACCCCTCAGCTTCAGAAAAGTTGATCTCCATACCTAAATTTGGAGACTGGCCCCTACTTGCACCAGATCCAAACACCCCCAAATGCTGGGAACATTTGGCTCTGGATCCAAATCTAAACATTACTACTCAAGTCCATCTTTAGTAATAGAATGAAAGCCTAATACACAGCAATGGAAAGAAGCCATTGTGGGAAGGGAAAACAAAGGTCAGTATTCTCATCTGGTTCCAGCACCCTGGCTCTCTATATCTCAATTACACCATGATAGAAAATCCCAGCTTCCATGGGCAAAAAGTAACCCGCATGTTTTTCCTCCATTTACTGTAGCAGAAATGACAGATTCCATGGAACTACACTTGCATCTCACAAAAAAGTGTGAGAGAAGGTGGGCTACCTCTTTTCCACCCTGGCAATTACTACCTGTTTCCACCAGGTAGGATTTACCACATGCCCACCTGTTGTATAGCTGCTGGGAGCTGAAAGTGTAAAGCAAGTATAAGGTATTCCCCAGGAGGAAAGCCAGGATCCAGAAGACAATCAGCACCGACCTCTTCTCCTGAGCACAAACAAGAGGCAGACAAGACAGATTCAAAAGTCTAAAGGGAACACGCATATTGTGCACCAAGCCTTTAACTGCTGAAAAATGTGAGACCAACCCAGGGGACAGACACACACTTCTAAGCATTCAGTAATTAGTTATTTACATGGGAGTGAGACATAAAAATAGGCAGCAAGGTACAGACATAGATAAACAGGACCAGAATCTGCTCTCATTTACTTTGTCAAGCAGAGTTACTCCACTGAAATCAAGAGAATGACACTGGCAGAAAGGGAGAGTCAGACCCACATAACCCAGTTTTCAAAGGGGGGTGCCTCAACAGGACATCCAAATCCTGCATGCTTACACTCAGCTTGATAAGTAGGAGCAGATATGCTGTACTATAGGTTTGAGCTTCCATAGGCAGGATCTGGATGGCCTTATTAGGGGTCACATCTAAACATGTAGCTTTAAAAAACAAAAAAAAAAATCACCTAGACTCTTTTAGACCATCATCATATCTAGAACATACTGCATAGAGCATAAATGGACAGTGTTTGGATGCAGGGAGGTTTCAGAGCATGTGATTTATAATCAAGAAACAACTGAACAAATGAAAGAACCAACAGTAGCTTAAATTCTACATCTGTGAAGATGGGAATGAATGACACGATATTAGATCCTAATCTCAGCACGTGTGAAGGTCTGAAGGTTACCTCTTCTGAGCCTTGGACCAGTGTAATTTTGAGAAGGAAATTCCACATTTGGGAGGGAAAATGAGAAAGAATTTTTTGGGCAGGTTTATTTAGTAAAAATGTGGCTCTTTGAAGCTGTTCAGAGGAATGCTAGATTGAGTCTTCAAGCAACTGGATTAATGGGCAGGGTAAGGTTAGGCAGTCAAATGTGCAAGACAGATAATTAATACCTAGTTGTGCAATTTATCCCATCAGTCTGCATTTTGTCACATTTATTTCATTACCATGTGTGCATAATTATATATTTATGCCACTCACATATCATCTATATGATAATGCAGCCCCAACCCGGCACTGCAATGCTGTTGAGATATCCCATAAGACTATAAACCATGATACCTGAAGAAGCCAATTGGTTTATTTAAGATGTAGCCAGAACACCAAGCATATTAAGAAGTAATACTTCTATAGCCATCTTTCATCTGAAAATCTCCAAGCTCTCTGTAAGCGTTAATGAATTAAGCCTCACTGCACCCTGGCGAAAGGGGCATTATCACTTCCATTGTTACATATAGGGAAACTGGGGCACAGAGCTGCTCCTTGAAGTTGCACTGCAAGTCAGTGGCAGGGCCAGGAATAGAAACCAGTTCTGATTTTTCACTCTCTAACCACTATACCAGGCTTCCTGCAAGACAGGGAGGCTGTGTGGGGCAGGGAAGGAACAGAGTATTCATATATGCAAAGAAATCTGTGCACATTCATTGTTTCATGCACAAAGTGCAAGACAAGATCTGGTATCAGCATTATTTTGCATATTAAGAGCAATATCTCAGAACACCATAGAGCAAGATACTGTACTCACCTTCAAAGAGACCTGTTCTCGGAGAGTTGAATTAGCATATGCAAATGTGCTGGCCAGACCAATGCACACAGCAATCCCTGCAAGGAAAGACACCCGTCAAACGGCTGTTGCACCAGGGAGGGAGTATTCACATTGTTAAATTATTTTATAGTCAACATTTTAGGTTTAAAACAAACCAACCCAACACCTGTAATTGCTGGATAGAGTGGGGGATGCTAACACACTGACCGCTAAGCTCTGGAGAGCGGGGTTCAGATCACAAACCAAATTAATGTGAATGCATCACGGCCATTTCCAGGGCATATTTGCCCAGAAGCACAAGCTGCCACACAGTTTGATACAATACTGAAGAAACGGCAGCCTCTGTTCATGAGAGACCCAGGAACACAATAGCAAAGGTACTGCAGGGCATGGCGGAGTTGCACGAACAGAGCTAGGAAAGGAGGGAAAACTGGAATAGCAGCTGGCTCTGCAGATCAAGACTGAGGTGCGCTGGCAAAGCTGTGTTGTGACCCAGGGCTGAGGGGTGCCGCAGGCAAGGATTGATGTGTGTGTGTGTGGGGGGGGGGCACTTGCACATTATGGCTTCCTCTAGCTAGCGATATCAGTGTCCATAAAGACAAATATTCACCAGACAGTTACATACTCCATCTACAAATGAACGTTTAAAAGGAGGATTGTAGTCTGAGATTTTTCAAGGCCCCTAAGGGATTTGGATGCCCAATTCCCATTCAAATTAAAGGAAATTGGGTGCCTGAATCCTTTAGGCAGCTTTGAAAAATCTCAGTTGTAAAGTGTAACTGGTCATCCCATCTCCCAACTACCATCCTTCCAGCCAAGCACGATTCGAATCCCTTCCGAGACTTTCAGTGCCACACAAGAGCTGACCAGCAGAGGCTGCTATAAGTATTCCCATCCCACCTCTGCCCTGAGAGCTGAGTGAGGATTCTTCCCAGCGTTCTCAGCCCCTGGTGGAGAGGGGCAGGGATAGAGACCAAGGCAAGGAACAGAACAAGAGTCTGCCACATGGCAGGACAGGACATCAAACATGGGCGTCACTCAACTGTAATGGCTAGTAATGAAATTAAAGGGGAAGAAAAGGCAGGATGCCCAAAGACAGGTAGCTTCACCCCTGTCCGCCTAGGTCCCCTTTGCCCACTGAATTTGCTACCTCTAAGAATTCTTACAGAGATGAACACAGTGGACACTGCGGCAGGACCCAGCTGCTGAACCACCCTCTCTCAACCTGGGAACCAAATGAAGATGGCGAGTTGGCTGCTTACCAAGCTTATGCTGGAAACAAACTTTAGCCAGGAGTATCAGGATGAAGGGAAGCCCCTTCTGGAGCCAGCAGATCACAGCCTTCAGCTCCGAGAGGGCAGGCGCAGGAGTCCCAGGCTGGTCCTCGGGATTGTCTTCTGCGTGTCCGTGGCGGTCTCCACTAGCCATGTGCAGCAAAGAGGATCCCCGATGGTGGCCATGGTGATAGTGATGGGGCTGCTGCCGGTGGTGGAACGGAGCTCCTTCTGTTCGGCTGGCCCCTTCTTCCCTTGGGGCTGGCATCTGAATGAACACATCCCCGCCTCCTGCTGAGGAACCCAGGACCAAACCTGACTGGAACGGGGTAGTTGGGATGGTTCCAGATGGGATGCCTGCCAGCCCTGAGAAAAGCTGCTGCGGTGAGGGAGTTTCGGCCTTCAAACCTTCGAAAACTCCACCTTCATCCACGCTGGTCTCAGAACTGACAGTTTGACTCCGGCTTCTGCAATGGGGAGAGAGACCCCACAGTGGGAGCCATCAAACAACCGGCTGTGCACTGAGAAAAGCATCCTCCTGATTCTCCAGAACACCAAGGCTGGATTTGATTCACCTTGGCATGGCTGGAGTCGTTAGGCAGTTCAATTGTGCTGGTCAAATAGTGTTGCTTTCCCCGATCCCCCAATGGGCCATAAAGTTCCTGAGCTCCTCGCTGGCTTTTTAAATCAGAGTTGGAGGGTTCCCCAAAACAGCCCAGTAACAGGCCAATTTAAAACTCTACATCATCTCTAAAATGGTTTTGACGGTAAACACGTAGTGTATGCAAAACACCGTGTGCAGTGGTGTACATTTTTTTATCGGTATGCATCTGGGATGGCCACACTACTCAGGAGTGAATTAACTGTGTCATCCCAAATAAATGACCTAACAGCTCCAGTTGCCAGGCTCTTCCCACTTTATTTAACGGTGGCCAACTGCCATCCTGGCACTGTCTGGAGGGAAAGCCAAATGATAATAACATGGGGTAAAACAGCCAGAAAGAGCTACTTCCCTTCACATGACCCAACAGGGGATTTAAGGGAAGAGAATGCCCACCTGCATTTGTTTTGGTGTTACACATGAATTTTGTGTTTCACCGATAAATTATGCCCTGAGGCAAGGGTCTGAAACAGACTTGGGCACAGCATTCGTTCCTTCCTGTGCTGGGGAGACAGCCCACCGGCCTACAGAGAGTTTCCAAGAAGAGGTTCAGGAATCTCATTATTTCTTCCTAATGCCACATGCCTAGGGAAAATATGCTCTGTTGGTCTGTACTCAGTGGCATGGCTCTATAGTGAATGTATGGAAGGTCTGACCCCATGTGGCAGTGGGAACAGAGGGGACAATTCCCAAAGCAAGTCGCTAGCCAAGAAAATGCCCAGTGCAAAGTAAACACTTGTTAACACTGAGAGAGAGAAAAGAATAAATACAAAGATCAGCGATAGGTCGAACCCACAAATAGACACTCAGTGCAGCGCTACAGTCTCTCCGGATCCTAATCCCTGGAAGCCTCCAACTTTAGAAACAGTGATCACGAGCTGAGATTACACAGGTACATACACAGTGCCCGCACCTTCCCGTAGCCCGTCTCCCCCCCGAGCCCATAACCCTCCCTAGACCTCTTACTCGGCACACAGCTTTGCATTTCAACTTGCTCTGGAACCAGCTCCAACTCCCTCTTGGGCACTTCCCCACTAAGCAAGCTCTAAACAAGGCTTTTCATAGTCACACCCCACTCCCAGAGTCTCTGTGCAGGCACCCGCAAGGAATCAAAGCAACCAGATACTGTACCATTTTCTATGGTTCAGAATTAACCAGATACATACTGGATGACACACTTAATGCCACGAATCAGGGTTGGACACAGAAGCTACACCAGTAGCAATTCTGTATTTATCTCCAAAACCATAAACATAGACAATATAACATACTTGGGGCAGCTCCATATGCCAATCAAATACACTGATGTTGTTTGGAACAATGCTGTTAGGATACATGACTATTCCTCCAGCAGGGAAGAGGTTAACTAGCCACATAGTTAAAAAGGGATACTGTGAAGGTAAACACTATGGGTGAAATCTTGGTTCTGCTGAAGTCAATAGGAGCTTTGCCATTGACTTCAATGGGGCCAGTATTTCACCATATATATTTTTTTAAATAACCCTTACCCATGTTAGTGATAATACTTTATTGTATTAAAAATGAAAGAGTTTTTAGAGTCCAGTTTACTTTACTTTACTTACTTTTTGCATTTGATAATGATACAATTCCTGAATTTGTACAGCCCCTTTCATACTAATCAATCCCAAAGTGCTTTACACATTTTTTACTGACTGGGGACAAGCCTCAGCTCATGTCAGAAGGTCCATGCAACATCCTATGAACCACTCAGCTCCCAAAACCTCTGTTCCAGAGCTCAGCCCACACACCAGACTACATGCCAGGTAGCATCATGGAAAGTGTGAGGTGACAAAACTAGAGGTTGGCTAAGAACGTACAAATAATTTAACAGAAATACATGGCCTGTCTCTTTTGCACTAACATGAAGAGTTACACTCCTGTCAGAATTTGACCAGAAGACCAGACTTAACCTGCTTTTGTGAAAAGTGTTATGGAATAATTAATGATCACAAGTGGTCAGGATCTTTTGCTTCACATTTCACTTGACAGACATTTCCCTCAACTCCACAGAAAAAGGAGACTGGTTAGTTTCACTTTTGTTTCTGATTAATTTCATTTCCCCATTCTCATGCACTAGCCCAAGAAAAATTTAACATTGAAAACCACCACCACAACAAACCTGTGTTCACTGAAGTTATAAAAAAAGATTAAAAATAGAGTAGGCATACCTTTATCTATCCATGTACAAAGGGACAAATCCTGGTTTACAGAAGGTCTCAGGGACCATCCAAAATCTTCATAAAATTTGGGGTTGTGCTAACCAGGAGTTTCAGTCTACTGAAGCACCTAAGCTCCAGTGAGCTGCAGTTAAGTTCTTGAGGAGTTCCACAAGAACATCTCAAGAACATAGCTGTAGAGGACCTCCACTCCTGCAGAGTTAACTTCCAAATCTTCAGCACTTAGGATCCCCACAGGACAGCAGCCTGAAGTTCTCCTATGGAGTTTAGAAGTTCCACAAAAGTAGAGCCTCAGTCAGTACAATCTTGAGGGACAGAACTCTGACTTAACCAAACTTCAGATATCAGGAGTTTAAGCTAGGCTGAATTTGAAAAATGTTTAACTGTATATGTACAAAACTAAATGTTGGGCCTAAACTATGTTCACTGTGTCTCTTTAATAAACAAACTGTAGGAACCGTGGTGTAGGATTTGCCATAGTGGATTGGCCCACTGGGTCATCAGATCTGATATTCTGCACTGGGTCACGACAAATGGTTTCACTTCAGCTACCTCCTAATGCGTGCAGCAAGCTTTGCCATATTACAGATAATGGAAAATATTCCTTCTTTAACCCTGTAGCTCAGGGGTTGGCAACCTGGCGGGCCGGGCCAGTTTGTTTACCTGCCACATCCGCAGGTTCAGCGGATCGCGGCTCCCACTGGCAGCGGTTTGCCGCTCCAGGCCAATGGGGGTAGCGGGAAGCGGCGGCCAGCACATCCCTCGGCCCGCGCTGCTTCCTGCAGCCCCCATTGGCCTGGGACGGCAAACCGCAGCCAGTGGGAGCCGCGATCGGCCGAACCTGCGGACACAGCAGGTAAACAAACCGGCCCGCCAGGGTGCTTACTCTGGCGAGCCGCGTGCCAAAGGTTGCCGACCCCTGCTGTAGCTTTTACCTTCCAAAAAAGGATATGAAATACACCAAACAAATTAATCAGAATATTGCCTGTTGGAGAGGATTGTGGAAGAAACGTGGGAGGAAAGAAGACTTACCTTTCCGGAGGAAGGCTATCAGTGTTGCTGCTGTGCCGTCTCTGCATTTTCCTTAACACCTTGAAACACAGCACACTCAACATTAACGTTGCAGATCAGCAATCCCCAGGGGGACTAGTAACAAAGGCCCAGAGGGTCGGAGAGCTGTGACACCCATTCACCCAGTGACATGGTTGGCAAAAATCACCTGCTTCTCTCAACAGTGGTTCAGGAGTGTATCAGTTTTTTTAGCACACTAGCAAAAAAACAACTCTTGAAAGGTTTTCCGCTGGTAGCGCACATTTGGTAGCGCACAGAAACAGCTCTCCAGTCGGGGCAGGAAGGAGCCAGTTCGCATTCTATAGCGCCAGGAACAAAGTTGAAAGTCACATGGACTTTAGAATCCTACGATGAGATGATCTGAGAAGGGACTCCAGGACAACCGACAGTAACCCTAGATGTGACATACGAATTGGCTCTTTGTTGTCTAGGAATAAGATCTTTTCCTCCTCCTCTTCTGAAGGAGTTTGCAGGGCAATGTGAAGCACACAGGAGAGGGGGGGAAAAAGTAATATTTTATGAAAAATGCAGTCACATCAGGACAACACAGTTTTATTTTTTGCTACATAGTGCATCCCTGGTAAATCACATAATTCGCACTAGCAAACTCTCCAGGCGTCTCTTAAATATGTGCATGTATGAAAGATCAGATCTTTTGGGCACTGTCAAGTTATTTAATAAACTAGGGTCTGGAGTAGGAGAAGAATAAGCACAGAGATTATAATAACCTGAAACCCTTGGCTATAGTAGCCTTTCACAGAATTGGGATGAGGTTTTATTTATTTTTTATTCTCTTTCCAGCAGCAATTTTGAGTCCATGAAACTATTTTTTAAAAATAATCATTCTGAAAGCAGAAACAAATGTGTCATCACTTTAGTATCAAAGTGCCACACAGACATGAATAAGGAAGGCTAGCATTATTACCCCATTTTACTGCAGGGGAAACTGAGGCACTGAGAGCTTTGGGGTTTTTTTTGTTTTTTTTAAAGTGACCTGCCAAGGGTCAAATTGACAGTTTATAAGAAAGCTGGAATAGAACCATTAAATCCTTATTTCCAATCCTACACAATCCTTCACTGAGATTTTTTTTCAGCACCACTTAATTTAATTATTTTACCTTAACTTTTCAAGGTTTCATTATGTGTACACCTCTACCCCAATATAATGCTGTCCAAAGCCAAAAAATCTTACCGCGTTATAGGTGAAACCGCGTTATATCAAACTTGCTTTGATCCACCGGAGTGCACAGCCCCGCCCTTCCCCAGAGCACTGCTTTATCACGTTATATCCGAATTCGTTTTATATCGGGTCGCATTATATCGGGGTAGAGGTGTATATTAGTTACATATAGGATGGATCAAAATTGATGGTTTTAAAAAATAAATCTAAAAAAAAATCAGATTTTTTAATTTAAATTAAATACAGGGTGGGGTTTTTTTGTTGTAAATAAACCTATACATTTGAAACTGAGAACCTAAATTAAAACTTTTGGGCTTAATGTATCAGAAACATTTAAATTAAATAAAAAATAACAGAACATGTTTGCTGTCAAGTTTTAAGGAAAGTCATGCCACTAAACTAATGGAAGTCACTGGCTAAGCACCTGGAACCAGAGTTTATTGAAATGCTAATGAAGCTTTTGGGAGCAGTAGCCCCTTCTGCAGGTGCAGAGAGAATGTTTTCTTCATTTCAGTTGTATAAACTAGTTCAACTGAATGACTAGTTCATTCAGAGTTAAGAAACCAATTGGTAAGTTAAAAAAGCAGGAAAGCTTGTTTTCCTCTTCCAATCTCAGAATAAAAACTAGGTGTGAGAGAGAGAGAGAGAGAGATCTACTAGTTCTAAAATCTTGAAGGACATGGTGACCAGAAACAAATCAGTTCAGTTAGCTAATTATAGACAATACTTCCTTTGTTTAATAAAACAGTTTGTTTTAAATGCAAAACATGTTTTGATGAGGTTCTTAATAAACTTTTTTTCTTATGTATCCAGCACATGTAAAGGTAATTTTTAGTTAATAAAAGAAAATTAAAATGGTGTTTATGAGCATTTTAACTGAATTTTCATCCAAATAGAGCTGACACAAATCACAAGTAAAAATGAATGATTATCTAGTGAATAACATATGCATTGTTTACCATTATCTAGCCTAATCAAAAATGTAAAAATTAAGAACCTGAATAAATGTAAGTTAAACTAAACAATTGCTTAAATAAATGTGTATAGACATTGTGTATCCTCCAGATTAGCAATAAGAAGCACCACATTTAGTGTAAAGGCTATATTTAAGATGCAAATCAACATGTTTTAATGGGAACCAACCAAGGAGAATGAACCTCTCTTTAGGAAAATAACTAGAAAGTACAAATGCAAAGCATGATTAAAATCTGTGATTTAAATCAAGGTTTCCTGCTTGCTGACTTAAATCACAATTAAAATCAGTGACTTAAATCACATTGATTTAACTCAATCCACCCTGGTAAACACATACCTTTATTCTGTAAGGATATACCGTAGTTGTTCAGGTGATATTTCCCAACTCTCCCTCAAATATCCTAACGTGTTTGACGTGTAGCCTATACTTCGTGGGAAGCTATAGAAGAAGGAAGAAAAAAGAAAAAAAAGATTTAACTTCAAAAATTTTCTGCTCATGTTGCCTATGTTGCCATATTCCTCATTCCTAAAGCCCCACATGGAAACAAAACAAACATTTCTTTGGCAGAGAAGCAAAAGGCCATGCAAATTGTATCAAATACAGACTTTATCCATTACATTAAAAAATCCTGGTCCTGCAACTTACAACATGTGAGCCGACGGCTGCACATATAGGGAAGTCAGTGAGGCTAGGTACAATGCACAGGTGGACTCCTTTGCCTGCAAGATGCAGGCGCAGGATCAAAATAAATATTTTACATGAACCTTTCCTCCCAAAGCGTTTCACAAGATTATAAGATACACATACCCCCCCACACATACACATCCCAACACTGAAACGTAGCCAGCTGAGAGGTGGAGCTAAGTGACAAACCACTGAGGAGAGAAGAGATATTTTGGCTAGAATACACAATCAGATGCCTGTACTATTAAAGAGTACCACAGGATTTTGATGTCTACAAAACCCCAGAGAGGACCTTGGTTTGTAAAGCCTGATCCTGAAGATTACAGTCTACTGTGTGTGTCTTTGTCCTATACCTCAGAAGGATGAAGGGCTGGATAAGAGTCAATAGCCAGAAGAGGATCTCAGCATTTCAAACAGCCATTCCATCTGACATTCCTTTACTGTAGATTTTCATAATTAGAGAGAGAGGGAGAGAGCTGGGAAAACCACAAATTGCATACGAACATGGCTGAAACCACATTATACAGAGAGTACACAGATGGGCTGATGGACTCACAAGCTCCAAGAAAGTAATTCCATTCAGGATCTTTGGTGACACTGTAAACCACAAGCACTGTTCTGATTACAAACATCTTCTTTGTAATTCATGGCAGCCCTTTGATTATATACATTTTTGAATCCAAGGTTGTGTTTTAGGGTTCAGAATATATTATAAAAAAGATACCCCCCTCTGCACCCTCCCCTGCAAATAAAATTGAAGCTGCAATTACGGTGACAATACTTAGCATTTTAACAACAATTTACTTTTTCTCCCCCCAGATGCTGGGTAAATGTTAACCCATTCTCCCAACACCCCTGCAAGCTACATACACAATATTACCCCCATCTTACAAATGGAGTGAGACAGAGAGAGGTTAAGTGACTTGCCCAAGACCTCAGTCTGATCCGTGCAAGCAGATTCCTGTGCCTACGCACAGCCACGGAGCTCCATGTTATAGCAGAGATCTGCCCAAGTAGGTCTGATCGCAGAATGAGAGCAGAAGTCAGTGAGAGAACTCAAGAGTTCCTGACATCCCGCCCCCCTCCCTGACAGCCCTGAGCTCAGTCTACTGGGGCTCCACTAGCTTGTGCTATGGGGTGACTATCCATCAATTTGTCTTTTCAAATGTTTTCCCCTACCAAAGCCAAGTGTGGCCCTTTGCAAAGTGAATTCCTTTTAGGTATCAGCCATAGTGGGGTCAGTGAAGAGAACCCCAAAGGGTTAGGCACCAAGATTGCCTAGGGATCCAATAGGACAGCTGATCTTCGGCCTTGTACACAGTACTACAAACCTAAGGCCAGATACCATTGGGGTAGATGTCATCTCAAAAGACACCTAACTAGGGCTGTCAAGCAATCAAAAAAAAATTAACTGCACTGTTAAACAATAACAGAATACCATTTATTTAAATATTTTTGGATGTTTTCTACATTTTCAAATATATTGATTTCAATTACAACACAGAATACAAAGTGTACGGTGCTCACTTTATATTTATTTTTGATTACAAATATTTGCACTGTACAAAACAAAAGAAATAGTATATTTCAATTCACCTCACACAAGTACTGAAGTGCAATCTCTTTATCATGAAAATTGAACTTACAAATGTAGAATTATGTACAAAAATAACTGCATTCAAAAATAAAACAATGTAAAACTTTAGAATCTGCAAGTCCACTCAGCCCTATTTCAGCCAATTGCTAAGACAAACAAGTTTGTTTACATTTACGGGAGATTCTGCTGACTGTTTCTTATTTACAATGTCACCTGAAAGTGAGAACAGGCGTTCGCATGGCACTGTTGTAGTCGGCATCGCAAGATATTTTATGTGCCAGATGCGCTAGAGATTCATATGTCCCTTCATGCTTCAATCACCATGCCAGAGGACATACTTCCATGCTGATGATGGGTTCTGCTCAATAATGATCCAAAGCAGTGCGGACCTGCGCATGTTCATTTTCATCATCTGAGTCAGATGCCACCAGCCAAAGGTTGATTTTCTTTTTTGGTGGTTTGGGTTCTGTAGTTTCTGCATCGGAGTGTTGCTCTTTTAAGACTTCTGAAAGATGATCCACACCTCGTCCCTCTCAGATTTTGGAAGGCACTTCAGATTCTTATACCTTGAGTTGAGTGTTGTATCAACCTTGAGTTGAGTTGAGTATCTTATCCTTAGAAATCTCACATTGGTACCTTCTTTGCATTTTGTCAAATCTGCTGTGAAAGTGTTCTTAAAACAAACATGTGCTGGGTCATCATCCGAGACTGCTATAACATGAAATACCCGCATTCTGCCATATAAAACAGAACAAAAGACATACAATTCTCCCCCAAGGAGTTCAGTCACAAATTTAATTAACGCATTATTTTTTAATGCGCATCATCAGCATGGAAGCATGTCCTCTGGAATGGTGGCCGAAGCATGAAGGGGCATACGAATGTTTAGCATATCTGGCACGTAAATACCTTGCAACGCCAGCTATAAAAAAGTGCCATGCGAATGCCTGTTCTCACTTTCAGGTGACATTGTAAATAAGAAGCAGTCAGCAGAATCTCCCGTAAATGTAAACAAACTTGTTTGTCTTAGCAATTGGCTGAACAAGAAGTAGGACTGAGTGGTTTTGTAAGCTCTAAAGTTTTGCATTGTTTTGTTTTTGAGTGCAGATATGTAACAAAAAAAAATCTACATTTGTAAGTTACACTTTCACGATAAAGAGATTGCACTACAGTACTTGTATGAGGTGAACTGAAAAATAGTATTTCTTTTATTATTTTTACAGTGCAAATATTTGTAATAAAAATAATATAAAGTGAGCACTGTACACTTTGTATTCTGTGTTGTAATAGAAATCAATATATTGAAAATGTAGAAAAACATCCAAAAATATTTAATAAATTTCAGTTGGTATGCTATTGTTTAACAGTGCGATTAATCACGATTAATTTTGAATTGCAGTTATTTTTTTTGAGTTAATCGCGATTAATCGACAGCCCTGCACCTAACTTAAACACTGAATGACTGAGTTGTGTCTGGATTTGGCAGTTCCACACCATGTTGTGACATACGGTAATTTTGCACCTGCAATGCCACGTGCACGCTAGCATTTATACCAGGAAAAAACAAATCAGGCTACATACATCTTGCTAACAGAGGACTTTGGATTGTCAAGGATTGCACAGTATTCAAATGTTCACATCACAGGCAATGAGTACCATACTAATTAGGTATAAGAACAGAATGCTCTAATGGGTCATATTTGAAAAAATAATGTTTTTATTTTTATTATTTGTATTTCAGTACTAACTAGAAGCCCCAGTCAAGGACTAAGACCCCATTGTGCTAGGCGCTGTACAAACACAAAATAAAAAGCAGACATTCAAACCTTCTTGTCTGTTTATTATGCAGACACACACACACCGGGGCAGGCCTGTCCCTGTGCCTCTCGATACATTGCAATTTGAAGCTAACCTAACAAGGTTGAAGCTGCAGAGGGTTTGATTGGCTACAGAATGACTGACTATTTTCTCTGGCTGTGCTCAGGCTTCCCCAGCTATTCTGAGATTTGAAAAATAAAATTTACGATGAAAGAGGTGGCTAAAGAATGTGCATGGGGGGGGGAAGGAAGAAGAGGAATTTCCCCCTTCTTTGAACGCAGCAGCACAATAAACACGGATACCACATAGTCCCCATCCCATCATCCCTTTTACAATGCAGTATTTCCCTGTATAAAAACCCCACTCCGTTAGACAGGAGGAGGACAAAAAGCACAGAGCTCCTTCACCTACCCTCACAATCCAGCAATCACAAGGTCCATCATCCAAACCCTGCCAAGCCAGCTGGAATAAACAAAGCCACCCACGTGACGGGCGACTTCCGATTCCCCCGCCCAGGATAGACACAAAGTAACTTCCTCCCTCTTCTGCCGCAGCCTATCAGGCTGGGGCGACTGGCTACAGCGGATCATGTGCCGGGAGCGGAGCGGAAGCACTTAGCGGGTCTGTTTAGGTTCCTTTGCTGCAGGCAACAAGAGCAGGAAGGGGGTGAGTTAGCAGCGCATTTTGCTTCGGATTCGCTGCTTCGGCATCAGCTGCTAGGTGGTTTTTTTGTTGTTTTTTTGATTGATCCTTTTCTGAGAAAGGAGGAGAGGTTATTTCCCCCCGTTTGATGTAGACAGGCCCAGGAGGCTCCTGGGGGCCCCATCCCCTCTTTTTAGGAGCAGGCCATGGGGGGGAGTGGGGCTAGCAACAGAGGTACGGGCTGGCGTGATCGTTTCGTTTTTTTTCGGAGACTGGAGGGCAGGTTGGCTTGGCGAAGGTCCCCTCTCTAAGCTCGTGTGCTTTGTTAGATTTCCTCTACTTCATGCGAAATCGATCTGTACAGACAGGGAGGTGGACCTGACTGCAGCTGAGGCTTCCGTTTGCTTTTTAAGGTTCCAGAGCCCGCCTGAAGTGTGTCCCCCCCCAAACAGCCCTGTTTAAAAATTTGCTCACACAGGAAAAGCTGTGGCTTTTTCTCTCTTGTGTTTAGTCCCAAACTCCTTGTTAGGGTTTCAGCTACAGCTTCTCTTTTTAAAGGGTTTTTTTTTTTTTGTGCTCTTCCAGTTCCTCCAGAGACTTCTCAGGCTGGTTCAGTGTGCAGCTGATTAATGCACTCCTGGAAAAATTAGTTTACCTCTAGGGGTTCTTTTCATTCCCCCTCTAAATGAGCAAGTGCAGTGGCTGAAGGAGAAATAAGAAAAATCCAGGGAGAACCAGAATCTGGTGCAGCTAGTGCAACAAGGGGAAAAACCAACAATTCCAGAGCAGTGTCAGTAAAGGTGTATATGGGAATGGTGCACTTTGTGTCAATGGTGTGGCGCAGGCTGCTGCGGAAGCGCTGGGTCCTGGGTATTGTATTTGGACTCTCCCTCATCTATTTCCTTACCAGTACCTTCAAACAGGTCAGTATTGCTTTTCTTCTTTGTCTTTCCCCTCCCTCACTGCCCCATTTCTCTGTAGGTCAAGGCCCAGTCCTACAAAAACACTTAATGCCAAATATGGTGCTTATTACTGATGGAAGGTTTCAGAGTAGCAGCCGTGTTAGTCTGTATCCGCAAAAAGAACAGGAGTACTTGTGGCACCTTAGAGACTAACAAATTTATTAGAGCATAAGCTTTCGTGGGCTACAGCCCACTTCTTCGGATGCATATAGAGTGAAACATATATTGAGGAGCATGTTCATGCTCTCTGTATGTGTGTATATATATCTCCTCAATATATGTTTCACTCTATATGCATCCGAAGAAGTGGGCTGTAGCTCACGAAAGCTTATGCTCTAATAAATTTGTTAATCTCTAAGGTGCCACAAGTACTCCTGTTCTTATTACTGCTGGAAGTGCTCCCATTGTATGACTACAAATTGAAGTACTGCATCTGGTGGTGGCTGCAGGTTTGGGTCCCCGTCTGTGAGCTCCGAGAGGTAGAGAACATCCCCACCCTGTATAAACTTGCAGCACATCATGAGAGATGTTAAAAATGATTTCTCTTGCAGGTTGTAAATTATTGGTGTTTAGCAGAGTGACCTAAAAATAATATGCTGAAATGCTACGATTTTTTTTAAAAAACCTGTGTTAATGATGGATCTCAAAATCTTATCCTAGGCTACTTTACTTCTGCCAGCATCATCACTAAGATTTAAGGGGTACTGTAAGTTAGGAGCTTGAACCTGAAACTCTATGTAAAGTGAAAGTTTTACATCAGTAATACGCTATAGCAACGTGTTCATGGGATCTAAAGGGCAACTGGAAAGTTTTATGGGCTCAAAGTGTTCTCTTGTAATGTATGTTGTGAAATGCCATCCCAAGCAGGATAACATCATTATGCATGAGGGACAAAAAGTGAAACCCACTGCTCCAAGCAAAGGCCCTAATTCTACATTAGGAGCCATGCAGGCAGAAGGGCCTGCCCGTGTAAATCTGGTTGGAGGATTGGGACCTCAGTGAGCTGCAGAAAGAAAGCAAAGATCATAAATGGTGAACGCTAATGGGAGCTGAATACTTAACTCCATTAGGTGACCTTGAAAATCTCTACATGTGTAAATTTTTATTTTTTTTTAAATGAACTAACCTTCTTTTATTAAAGGTCAGGACATTTTTCCCCCTTGTAAATGAGCTTTGTTAAAAATATCCCTGTAATTAGATCTTTGTTTAAAGAAAAATATAGATTCCCGATGGTGAGACTTGCTCTAGATTGTTACAATGAGGCCTAGATTTCTTGACACCTGTACTTTCTTAAGCAGTGCCTAAATAAAGCCCTATTCTTTTGTCTGCAGCGCCGCTTTAAAGGTGCATGTGTAAGATGGTTTTCCAAAGGCAATCTTGAAATGTTTTAAGTATCTGTCCATCCTTAAATGGACCTCGCCTGGCTGTTCTTGAACTGCCTCTATCACATATCACCTCTTTATTTGAGGTGAGGTAGAAAAAGCAGCTTTGAATGTCTGACCTGTCTGGAGCATTAGTAGATCTTGCAAGGGAGTGTGTTGAACAGGGGGACTGGGAGTCTGGATTCTTGGTTTCTGCCCTGGCTGCCCCACTGACTCCCTATATGACTTTGAGTAAATCAGTTAAGCTAAGCCAAATTTTTACAAGTGGCCAGTGATTTTGAGTGCCGAGCATCTGCAGGACCTGATTTTCAGAGGTGCTGAGAAACTGCAGCTCTTTTTGACCTAACGAATCATAGAAGGGCCGCACCAAAGAAAATTAGGCCCTAAAGTGTTTCAAGTTGGGCACCCAAAGTTAGTGGATGTTTCTGGAAAATGTAGGCTTTCAATGCTGCCTGCCTCAGTTTCTCCCACCTTTAAACCGGGAACAACAATATTTAATAAACCTCTCCAGGAGTGGGTTGCAAGGCTTAATTCAAAGTGAACGTTGACCAAGTGCTTTGGGATCCTTGGATGAAAGGTACTACAGAAGTGCACATTTTATTGTTCTTAGTGTCCCTGTTTTGTAAGGCGAGCTGATGGGGGGTGGAAAGGAGAGAGCATTCTTTGTGTTACTAGGAAGAGGGTGAAATAACTTCTAATGTATGTCACTTAGAGAAAGGAATGCTACTTTTATGGTCTGAAATAATGTCTGAGGTGTCAATTAGTCCTGAAATTAATATCTACAACACCCTTTATTTTTATGGTGTTGGTTTAATGTTACACGCAGGATGTGGTAAACCACTGTCTCAGGCTGTTGGTGTGATATCTCATGCTGCGTTAGTTCCTTGCAGTTTCCTTCTGTCTTGGGAATTGCAACCATTAGAGTTCAGCTGGGGGAATGGAGCGCAGAGTTGAGTAAGAGAAGGGAACTGTGTGTTAACTTGCATTGCTGGGTTTCGTTGCAGGAAGAGAGGACGGTACGCGATCGGAATCTTCTCCAAGTACAGGAACATGAGCCCATCATGTGGAAGGTGCAGTTCAGCCTGGGAAATAGCAGTCAGCGGAGTAACCAGTGCAGAAATTCTGTCCAGGGGAAGCTATTCATTACGGATGAGCTGGGTAAGGCCACTGATAAGAGCCTTTCCTGCAAACCACAATGCTCAGCACTGTGTGTACCCTCTGGATTTTGCTGGGACCCCCAAGTAGCAATTCCCTCCACTCTCGTGCATTCCCACTAGAGTAAATTCTTCTGTTGTAGAAATGTTGTCTCAGATGCTACTTCCTGGCAATAGAACACCGCCTTAAATTGAAGCAAGGGATGTTCAGTAATGGCTGTAGGTGCTTCTGGGGTGACTGCAACAACTGTCTTAACAGCACACCAGAGGGAGTTGCATACATTGCTGAACACCCTTCACTTCATTTGGAGACAGTGTTCTGTTATAGGGAAGTAGCATTTGAGACATTTCCCACAACAAAATAATTGACTCTAGTGGGAATGCACTAAAGTGGAGGGATTGCTACTTGAAATTTGACTTTAGCCAGGACAGTAAAAACTCCAGTCATTTCACTTTTATGTATTTTTAAGAACACCATGCTTGGAATTTTGGTTCAGTATTGACTTGGGGAAACGAGTAGAATGCTTTTTGCAGGATTCACTTTCTGCCGCACTTAAATGGACCCATCCAAGTTCTGAAGCTGACCCCATCCTGCCTTAGTTTCTGAGATCTGACTGGTTCATAATCTGAGGTGGCTTAGGCGTAGGCTACATCCACCCTAGTTCCTTTTCATGTTTTATTGCAACAAAACTCTAAGATCACTGGCCACCCATCCTTATCAGATGGCAATTTTAAAGTTGTTTGACTGTATCTCGCTGGTCTGCCCTTAATAGGAATGCATATTTCAGAACTACATCCATTAGAGGTAAAATACATGTAGTTTTTCTTTTAAAGGTACACTACAAACATATTTTTTCTTACCTTTGGCTTTCTGAAAATGATTCACTACTTGCTCAAATGCTTAACTAACGTCATTGTTTTATTATTGCAAATCTGTTTTTTAAGATACTTACAAGCACTGTCATGCCAGAAATCCTACAGGGTGCCAGTAGCGTAGGTACAATGTCCCTCTAAGTGCAACTTTATATTGTTTACTTTGCCTGGGGCTGCCATATATATATAGTAAGCTCATTGGAGCTGGGACCATCTTTGTTTTGTACAGTGCCTAGCACAGGGGGGGTCCTAGACACTGAGCTGTACCATAATATAAATAATCTATTAGTCACACCTGCTTTGATATGGCCCAACAAATAGTACAGGCACCAATCTTGCAAACATTTAAATGTGCTTAACTTTAAGTATGTGAGTTGTCCCCTTAAAGTCAATGAAACTACACACTTTTTAAAAGTTAAATATGTGCATGTGTCTGAAGG